CAGTTTTAAAACCGTTTTCCACGATCTGAGGAGATCACAACTCCACTCAAGAGTGATTTAAGGGGGGCGGTTACTTCCCATTAGCCCCACTTAGGAGCAAATTAAGGGGGGCAGTTACACCCTTTAATTCCCTATAAATAACTAAGAAATCAGCTTAGTTCGGGCTGGATTTTGGAGGCTGGATCTTTCATCATTCTCTTGGGCAGTAAAGAAGAAATCCTTGGCTTGTCTAACCAATTACGGTTAAGATCAATCAACTCATCAAGAGTTCTAAAACTTGCTTTGCAAGTTCTCCACAACGTCAAATCGTGAGGAGGAGATACTGTTCCAGTGAATCAAGACAAATCGTGAGGAGGAGATACTGTTCCAGTGAATCAAGACGTTCGGATCGTCAACGGAGAGCAAACTCGATGCGAGGATTCGAGGGAGGCACTCCATCGCCACCGTGAAGAACCCAGAATCAAACAAAGGAGAGAATTCAGATCAATTCTCTTCTCTTTTGTAATCAGGAAATTCAATTGTAACTGAGATTAAAGGAATACAAATCAATTTTTCTTCGTTTCTTTTACTACAAATTTTCCACAAACAGCGAGCTCAGGCGACGTCGACGTAGATCCGACGAGGTCGACGGCTTGCTCGAAGCGACACCGTGCAGGTGAGCTCGATGATGAGGTGAAGCAGCGCAGGTGAGGTCGAGGTGATGTCGACTTGTTGCAGGCGAGCTCGAGAATTGATTCAGGCGAGTTCGGGGCCATCGCAAGCGGGGTCGGAGCAGGCGAACTCGAGCGAGACTCCGCAGGCGAGCTCTAGCGGCAGCTTGTCAATTAGGGTTCCCATATAAAAGGGAACCCAGAGCTTCTCTCCTCTGTGTGGCTTCTCCTCTCTCACGATTTTCCTCCTGGCGGCGGCTCTCTCTCTCATCTCTCGCGGTCTCTCTTCTTTCTCCTTCAGCTCACGAGATTTTGAGGATGGGAATTAAAGAAGAGGGAATTTATTGAAGGGAATTTATTAAAGAGGGAGAATCAACACTATAGCTACAATGTTGACTTATATTTTGAGAGATCTCAAGTTTGAGATATGCTATTGTACATTGTAATTTCTTGATGATTAATAAGAAATAAATTGTGTGGCTCCCGAGGACATAGACAAGTTTGTCGAACCTCGTAAATCTTGATGTACTTTTCTCTATACTGAGTTTCTCGTTGTTTTAGGGGTTTAGCGTAGCCCTGGGTAATTTCCCAACAACATTAATACTTAATTTTCTTTGGGAACACTTATTTGTCTGCTATGACCAACGAGGATTCTCATGACCGTATCCAGGTCAACGTGTTAATGTTCCTTCGAGATTCGAGTTTACCTGGTTACCCATAGAGCGCTAGGGAGATCGTGTGCAACCTGGCCATTTGTTCATTCTGCAGCTAGCATTTGTATTTGTGTCCAAACTTTCAGTCACTCTTCTGTTTCAGTTGAGATCACATTTATACTAGTTAAAAGAAAAACATCTGACAAATAAAACTAGATAAGAAAGATAAACCAAACAAAGAACTGATTACATGGGTGCCACTGGACAGGGGTAAAATTATTAGACAGAATAATCTCCAGTGCAAAGCATATAAACATGTATTTCACACATTGCAGAATAGAAATGGCGCAGAAAATACCTTATGATAACCTCTGAAACATAACCTCCACCGATTCGTCCCAGAAAATTCCGTACACTCGTCATAGACGCGTAAATATGAGTTTCTTCATAGCCCAAAGATTGGCTCATCTGACCCCAAGTTATCAATGACCGTCACACCTGCACCTGATCCAACATAAAAGAAAGCAAAAGAAGCCAAAAATCTGCCTTTGCCAAAGTCTGCATCAAAGTAAAGCCCGTTTCTTTGGATTTTTCATCTTCCAACTCGACTAAAAAGAGCCTTATGCTGCGGACTAGATTCTTCGGATTCACAAGCCTCCTCCTTTTGGGGTACAGCCAAGAGGTCCAGGGAATTATCATCAACACAAAAGGTGAGAATCAAAGGAATCACAGCAGGAAGTAACAGGAGAAAGAGAAGGACGACCGTGAGCAAGATAGCTACAGAATGACTCAAGTCTATTAGATCCTCAAGAAGCATGACAACCATGAGATACGCCGCAAGAAGAAGACACGCGCTATGGATGAATACAAAGCTGGAATTATCAGATGATGGTACTTGTTTGTGACCTCCGACAGGTCTGACGAAGAACATTAACGCGATAACAATCATCGCAGGCCGAACAGCAATCATAAATATTAAAGTGGCATGATTGGGCGTGTGAATCGTTGCGTATATTTGGGTCAAGATTGCACCACTCAGACCGGCAAAGCCTTTCAAGATTCCAACTACAGGCCCTCTGCTACAGGGAAAGTTATGTACGCAGGAAACCAGAGTAGCCGTGCTGAAATAGGTTTCTCCATTGCACCCGATGAAGATGAGGATACACATCTGCGTTGAGTAAGATGAGGAGTAAAGGTGAATATTTATGAAGACCACGAGAATGCAATTGCAGAGCTACATACTCAGTATAGACAAAAGTTGCGTCATTTTTAATTTTCACACTTCCAACTTTCACTCTCATGCAAACAAACACTTCAAGAAAAGTTTGCTACGAAGAAGCCAAAGAAAAAAAAAGCGATGGTTACTTTTGCTACTAATTTAAGAAAAAAAAATTGCGTTTATTTCTCTAAAAAAACATACTTTCGCTATATTTAAATGTTGAGGTGGCGTCTATGCTGCATTCATCTTTCTCAAACTTTTTGTTCCCTCAAGTCCTAGAAGTAGCTGAATGTGTGTTAATCTACGAAAAATTTAATGTTTTTAACCTCTCCAGTTGTCATGTATTAGTTACTTCCTAACAATATTTGCAAATGCGATCCAAACGTAAAAAGCGAATGAAGAAGAGCAAGGTATACTTCCCGCGCTTTAAATAAAACGTGTGAAGAAATAAAAGAGTTCTATTCCTCGCTGCTTCTTGCTTCATAATGTTTTGAATTCACCTCCTTAATGCCTCTCTTGTCCTAATACTTGATATCAAGTCAAATGGGCCATCCCAATGCAAACCGTTAGTAAACATAACAGACCAACTAATCTACGAGGTAGGTAGGCATCCAAAGACAGCTTAACAATACACCAATAACTGCGACACATTAAAGCATCCCAAAGACAGCAGACAATTCTGGCGTAACAAGGTAGGTAGCCAATGCCTCTAACGTCACCATCCAGAAGGGGGGGGGGGGGGGGGGGGGGGGGGGGGGGGGGGGGGGGGCAGACGCATCCGTATCCGATCAACATTCTGAAGAGAACCAACAAGAAGAGAAGTCCAAAGAGGGAGGAATTCACTGAGAGTCCCAGCTACCAACCCAATAGGGGCACCAAGATCCTTGGAAACCCCCAGCGTTAGCTACCTGACGCTGGTTGTAGCCCAACGAACTTTTGATGACAGGGGAGAAGCTCCCAAAGAGGTAGCCGGTCCCCGCGCAACACTCCACATAGCAAAGACAAACACCACCCATCTGTTGTTGGAGGAGGAGGAGGAGAGGTTGCCATGGAGCCTGCCCATTGACCAAAAACTCTGAGGGGGTGAGGTGAGACTTTGGAGCTTTTGGGAAAAAGATACCCTGATGGAGATTTCTGAGAATTTGGAGGTGAGAAGTCAAGTGATGATAAGAAGAAGGAACCGAAGAGTATCTGAATTCTCGGAAAGGCATCGTGAGTAGAATTTTTTTTTTCCATGCGATCCTTAAAAACATTTTGAAACTCGAAAGAATACTTATTCTCTAATCATCTCTTTGGCTGTGATTATTATTATTTTAAGTATTTTTGGCGAGAATAATTCCGAGTGCTACTCTTTATGAAAGCAACACCAGCTATAATTGGTGACTGAAAATGTTAATGATTGTCCATGATAGCTGATTCAATGGTAAAATACTTGATTAGTCAGTTGATTAGCCAGTTGAACCTTCAACTCAACTTGAGGCAGGAGACAGGCAAGAGGATTGAAGGAGGAAGAATGCTGATATTTTTTTGTCAAAAGAAAAAAAACACTAACTTAGCATGTCCAAACTGAATCAAACCGTTGTTCTATTGAATCTACCTAAGTTTAATTTAGCCAAAAAAATCACAAACTAACCAAACCGACCATTTGCTTACTAGCCCTTTGCACGCTCGGGCATCTTCTTGTCACTTCAATAAGAGTGATCAAGTGAATCTCTCTCGTCTCAACCTCAGCACATCTTCGACAATGCCTTAGATCCCCGTTCTTTGTTTCCGATCAAATCTTGATATGGTTATCTCCGACTCTTTGTTGGGTTTAAAGATTTTGGACCTCCATCTGCGTTCTTCGTATTCGATCTTCTTCGACTCTTTCCGACAGACTCATTCCTGGCACATGACCCAAACTTGAGTTCGTCAACCAAATCAAATTGATCCGCTTATCTTGGATCCACCTTGGAAGAGCTAAATCCGATTTTCTATCCACTTTAAAATCCAAACTCTCGATTTTCAATCCATAAGTTTGAGAGGGAATGTTAATTACATTATTGTACTTATCATTTGTAAGCATCTTTGTTTATCCTAATCACTTAATGTAACCCTTGTTATTATCAAGGCTAATGAAGAAAGAGATTTCAATCCTGCCCTTGTGTTAGCAGTCTTGTTCTCCATAAGAGGGGGTCCTTCTCATTCTTCTAGTATGCATCTACTGAAAAAGAGCTGCTAAAGTCAGGGATGTTGTGATACAAATAAGACCAAACTGAGCTAATAATACATCATATAAAATTCAGCTTAGACCAAACTCAGCCAATAATGCATCATATAATATATATTTAGCCCAGATACCAAAATTATTAAGAGGCAGGGAAACAATATAAGTTGGAAAACAAGGATATACACTCACCAAAAATGAAAGAAAACATTGCATAGACAAGTTCTTCTCAATTATATTGGAAGAATCATTATACAAATAGTAGCATGACATTGATACACTCAAATTTCAAAGCTCATTCATTCATTCGACAAATATACATTGATGTTTATAGACAGTGGAGAAAACCCACATGAAGAAGCACCAAAAATACCCGAATATCCCCAAAAGAATACATTTGAAAACAGGAGCCGATAGTAGCATGACATTATACATACATAGGATTAAAGAATTTCACCACTTTCGAAGAACAAATGATGAGAGAAATAAAATGGCGCCTGCTCCCTTAGCAGCTATTCATTCATCTGCTGGTTTCTCATTTCCCCTCCATGATTGCACATTAAGAAAGCATGGGCAATGAAATCCTAGAAATATATGTCACAGAACCAAATTTCGTTTCAGCTCACTAGAGCACGAACCACCTGTGTGTTTTTCCCGTAAAGATTAGCATAGACGATCTTGGTTCTACGAACAAGAATCAAGCTCAAGATCATCGCAACGATGCAAAATGCACACATAATCAATGATGAAAGGAAGAAGCACACTGCACCCTCACACTTCAATGCCTCATCAATCCCAAGACTTGTTCCATAGAGTAATCTACCAAGAAGAGATTGTTGGTTATGGTTCTTGTGCTGTTGCTCTGCTTCATAGTCGTAAATACCACTGGCGATAACACCTGAGAAAATTAGTGAGCCAGCTGGATTTGCAGCAGTGAGAAAGTTATACAATGCCCCAAAGTTTTTTAGGCCAAAGAGTTCAGAGGCAGCAGCAGGTACAATTGACCAGTGAGCTCCATATCCAAGCCCGATCAGCAGCGTTCCAATATACATTGTTCCCGGCCAAGCCATAGCAAAGAAGAAGTGGCCGATTGCCATTAGAATCTGTGCAGCAGCCAAAGCTATTGGCCTTGGATATGCATGTTCCCTGATTAAAGAAAGAAATATAACTTGTTTATCTATAATGAAAAAAGTAATCTGAAAATGTTCTACTTTTGACTACTCATTGAATAGCTTTTTATTCATATTGTAGCTCTTTATAGTACAAGTATAGCGCTTTAAAGCGAAATGTAGTTCCTTATCCCATAGGTATAAGTCTTTATTGGATAAGTACAGCACTTAATGGATTTTGTCACACCAAAAAGAAAATTTTAAAAGAATGCAATAGAAATCACAATAAAACAAAAATATATGAGATATAAAGAGCTAAAAAAAGAGTTGAGAATCTATTCAAGAAGCATGAAAAAAGAACTTTTTGGAGGTAGTCCTATACTCCTATATTACTAGTAATTCATTGTTAATTGATATTTCTGATCGTTAGCGTTCATAGTTTAATTGTAACATACACTCCCCTACATTACAAAATCTTTCTTAGGCGAAGAAAATTTTAAAGAAAAGAACTGAGATAGATCAGTTTCTAGGACCCGTGACTACGTAAACACAAGCACGTACTGCACTCATGTGCAATCAGTTTCTAGGACTCGTGACTACGTAAACACAAGCACGTACTGCACTCATGTGCAATCAGTTTCTAGGACTCGTGACTACGTAAACACAAGCACGTACTGCACTCATGTGCAAACGAATAGAGTAATCAAAAAAATTGAGAAGGATATTCTGTTTTGTGACTATGAAAACAGAATTGAGAATGGTTTATCAACTTGGAGGGGGGGGGGGAACAGGATAAGGAAGGAAAGGGTAATATGGGGATTCAAGTTTTCTTTGATAAATACTGTGTGTTTTTTGTCAATATTATACAGTTCAGGCTTAAAAATAAGTGGATGAAGGTACTTTGGGTGTACAGGTGTTTATGAATAAACGGGGGTAAAACTATGGGTTCATAAGCAAAAACCCCTTTTTCTTTCTCTATTTGATTCTAATGGGCATACTTAATGTAAAAATGAAATATTTAATATCCTTGGCGTCTTTCACATTATCTATCTCTTAAGAGTCAAATGTAATTCTAGATAGCAAATCTATCCCTTCGTTCATATAGACTTTTTTTTTAATAATCATAAACTTCTTCTTTTTTATTCTTATAGACTGTGCTCACTGGAGAAACTTTGGAAGGTGCTCCACGGTTACATAAGCTTAGATTACATGACCAAGAAAGTTTTTTTCCCTATTAATCTAGAACTGGGTACAAACAACTCACTCATCAAATTTTCTATGTCCTTAATTTGGCACCAACAGGGTTGACATTACACTCATATCTGTAGTACATTTTTGTCAAATCTTCTACGGAGGCTCACATGGTAACTGTTACACTGGGAAATGGTATTATCTAACAATGTTATGTTGGCACCAACAGGGTTGACATTACGCTCATACCCAGTAGTACATTTTTGTCAAATCTTCGATGGAGGCTTACATGGTAACTGTTATGTTAGGAAATGGTAATTGTTAATTTGTTATGTTGGAAAAGGATCTATGATGATGATCTTGTGGGTATACACCAAAAGATAGGATAAGAAATGAGAGCATTCATATGAAATTAGAGGACCGCTCCTAAAATGAGAGAGAATCAGTTGAGGTAGTTTGGTCATCTACAACGGAGACCTTTAGTGCACCGGTTAGGAGAAGTAATAAAAGCATGGTTAATGGGGCAAAGAAGTCTAGAGGTACACCTAAAAGATCTTGGCTAGAAGCATTGTTTTAAATATCCCCGACATGACCCGATATATCCCCCGATATATCCTTTTACAAAGCTTGCCGCAACCGATATGGTCTTTAAACAATGTTACATTAAACGCTGGGCGCTTCTAGGCGTCGGACTTGGCGCTCAGCGCTTAGTCGCTTAGGCGGGCGCTTAAGCGGTTTCTGGGCGTTTTTTTCTTTCTTCATTTAAGTGGTGGTCGATGAGGTTTTGCTGAAGGTCGGAGGAGGTAGTGGAGGTGTTCATATTTGGAGGTTAATGAAGTTTGGAGGACGTGTAGGCTACGACACATAAAATCACAATCAATGCCTACATGGTGCAATCCACGTAAGCAGATAATGCTTCCCTAAACACTCGTAAAATCTAGGTGGGCATCCTAAATACCGTCTAGGCGCTAGGCGCTAGTTAGGCGTCCTAGGTACCGCCTAGGTCTAGGCGTACGCCTAAGCGGACTAGGCGGAGGTTTTTTAAAACAGTGTCTTTAAATATCCTTTACCGCTTTTTTTGCTATTTTGAGTGATAAATCCCCTATATGGCCGATATATTAGCCGATATGTGGACCAATATATCTTTTTATATAGCTTGTTGCAAAATAATATACCGCGTTTGGAATTTTTGGGCGAGATATCAAGATTTTCCCATTATATCAAATGACATTTTGCCCTTAAAAAAGCAGATCGAATGTTGCAACGTTGCTTTGCACTTTTGTTTATTTTAAAAGGTTGATTAGTGATCCTAAACATATATTATTCATATTTTGTATGCTTAAATTTCATTACATATATTAAGATTACATTTTAATGCATTATACTATGTATGCAAACATTCATTATGGCAGTCCGATATTTACCACATATCCCTGATATTTCCCCGATATCCGCAATCCGATATGAATTTTGGTCATCCGATATTTCCCCGATATCCGATATTTAAAACCTTGGCTAGAAGCAATTAAGAAAGATATGATAACAGTTAGCTTAATGAAGGAGATGCCACAAAATTTGAGATAAAGGCTTTGTTATTGTAGTTGTATCTCGGAATGGGGCAGCCTTCTTTGTTTTATATATGGAGAAACATTTCATAATTACAGGTACTCCCAACTAAACACAACCAAATACCACTCCAAAAATAATAATAGTATCGTTTTAACTTGTAATGATGACTCTTCAGATGATATGGTTGAAATGGTCAAAGTCAAACCACCCAAAATTCTTGCATCAGGGTGGCTGTTCGAATATACCCAACCTGAGGAGAGAATTCTCATAAGAGAAGAATATTTCAGACAAGGTTTTCACCTAAGTTGAATGGAAACGGACACGGGTACTGGTATGGGTGCAGGTACGGGTAGGGGACACGACAAAATTATAAAATGTAGGGTACGGGGACACGGCTACATATATATATTGAATTAATAATGTACATGAGATATAATTTTCCCGCTTCATGTGTCATTAGAATTAAAATTCCGATTACATTTTTGAGTTTCTTTTATCATATTGATTATTGTGAATTGTAAATTACTAGACATCTAAACGACCCATTAACTATATAGTTTTGAACTTGAGTATGGACTGAAACGAACCCAACCCGTATCTCATTAGTTTCAAAAGACGGATGTGAAGTGTAAGCTCTACGTCTAGGAAATCTTTGAAAAGTGTTTTAAATTAACACATATATCGTAAATTGAGTACATATTGTAATAAATGCATGCATATATTTAAGAAGTGTCCATGAAGTTTGGGTACGGGAAAGTGTCGGGTACAGTTTTCGTCGAAAGTTGGTTTTATTGTGGAATTCATTATATCTTCGATCGATTACAATAAATTCAAAAGAAAATAGTCTTTTTATAAGACCTCTTTTACACAATAAAAAAAATTACAACTTTCTAGAAAATAACACAGAAATCGTTTATCGATTCCTGTTTTGTGGGACTTTACCTATACCGGGAGTGTTTTAACTCGTGGACCACCGATTCACAGACTCTGATTGAATCGTGAAGGCTTTTGGATATTCTTCTTCGTTTATCGAAGTAAGAATCTTTAAGCGAATATCTTATCGATGTAAGATGTTCACTCTTCCAAAGATCAAGTCAGAGCTTAGATCTCTAGGAATCACCAAAAGATTTTTGAGGATGTTTGTGAAAAAGGAAGACTCTCTCTTGCTCCAATTCACCAAAAGCTCAAGCCATTTCTGCTCCAATCTCCTCTTTGTCCCTTATTTCGTGTCTAGGGAGGTATTTATAGGGGTAGCAGTGCATAACAGTGAAAATGGGGGCGAGACAACTGACCAACTAAATGCTTTTTGGCCGCGTCAGTCAACACTTCCGCGGCTATTGGCGCGACAGTGTGGGCTGCCGTGGCTAAAGGGGCAGTTACACCCACATTCCCTCCTGTTTGAAACTGTTCTCCCACGACCTTTAACCACCATTTTCGTGGTTTAACTGCTTGTCCACGTCAGCACACGTTCTATTTCTGATATGCCGCCACGTGGGCTTCAAATAATCATCATATAACTGCCTTGTAACCGTCGCAGCACCCCCCTACAATAGTCGCGGCATCATAGGCTGCCGCGCCTTAGCCGCGGCACCATAGGCTGCCGCGCCTTAAGCCACGGTAGACCCCCTGGTGCTCCAAGCGCCTTAGCCCAGCGACACACATAGGCTGGCCGTGCCTCAGCCGCGCCACCATGTACTGCCTATTGGTGTGTACATTGTTCTTCCATGTTGTCTCGCTTCCTTTGAATGATCCCCTCTGATTAAGAAAATGGCGTTTATCGTCTTCTCTTTGCCTTGAGTGGTATTTGGATGTCTGTAAGCATTTTTTTGACGCCTACAGATACCCCCTCCAAAGTATCTCAGACTCATCATTTTGGAGAGGAGTCTGGGACACTTTGGATATGATAAGTTTTCCTTGTAATTTCTTCAGTACTTTGTTGAGGAAGTTACGTAAGATGGTCTATAAATAGCTTCAATTCTTGACTTCTTCATCTTTTAGCCTATTCAGTGCTTTGTAGAATAGCTAAAATTCCTCCGGTGTTGCGTTTATCGCGTGACCGTTGTCGAAGTCTTGAATTAAAACTGTCGTCGAAGAATGGAGAAATAGTTTATACTCATATATTATATTGGAGTGTTTGTGAAATAGTTTAACCTCATATACCCGTTGGGAGGTTCAAGGAGATGCAGTTTATACTCATATACTCATCGGAGTGTTCGGGAAATAGTTTAACCTCATATACCCGTTGGGAGGTTCAAAGAGATGCAATTTATACTCATA